GGTCTTGTACAGTCCACGGAGGACAGAAGGAGCAGGTCTGTCAGATGGCGAAGGTCTTGTACAGTCCACGGAGGTCAGAAGGAGCAGGTCTGTCAGATGGAGAAGGTCTTGAGAGACTGTGGTCTTATCTGGGAAAATTTGCAAATATTACCAAGGAAATGACACCAGACAACAGGGTTGACCTCCTCAGTGATGCCCTTCTCCACTTTGGCCAAAACATTCAAGACAAATGTGGTGTGTAACAATCATACTTAGGATTAGCAACTGCTGTACCACAATGATACAGTGTCATATTGTGAAGGATAATACAAAGCTCCAGATAAGCTTTTGGTGTTGTGGGTATTTTACCCATGCATTCCTAAATCATTAGGTATCAGTAATTCTATCTGGGTGTATACTGTAAATTTCTGTTACCCACTAGTTTTTACACATGTGGGTATTTAACTTAAATATTTAAAAACACTATTCATCTAGGCCCTGCAAACTGGTATTGTGTGGGTTTGAGAGCTTTATAAGACTCAAAAATACCACAATACTTTCACAAGAAAGTGTGATGGCAAATGATCATGATGTAACTGTCATCGAGGAGTTTGGCAAGGTTGACGGAATGCCCGTTTATAATTTCAAAATAAGTTGCTGATTTGCTAATCGAATACGCAGGGTTACTTCACAATATTTTGATGATACGCTCAAGTTTTATTTTTGTAGCGTATCTGTAATGTTCGTTGCGTATTTGATACGCTTGGATTTTATTTTACTGCGTTTTTCTTCTTTTCTGATGCGTATTTCACGCAGATACGCAGCTTATCTGGAGCTCTGATAATATGTTCATCTGTAAGCTATGACGTTTTACCTTTTAATGTGTTTTCTTATTTATCTGCAATTAATGTTAACTCTTTGGTCCCAGAATGATCCTTTTTGTCACATAATATTGACTAAATATGATAATAATAACTGGATATATTGTATGTGGTCCTTATCTGTTGAGGTGAGGTGAAACGGGGTTTAACGTCGCGTCCAAGATTATTGCACTTATATAGCGACGTGCATGCACGTGTGTGTGTTTGTGTGGCTGCTTGTACTAGTCCGGACTGATGCCGATTTATAGTGCAAGCCGACTGAGATGCCATGCCGCAGTTTAACATGAATATCCCACTCTGACACAGTATACTGACTCCAAGTCCTTGTTTAGCCCCTTAATGCCTAGCGCCAGACAGGGTAACAACAAGTACCATCTTTAAACGTCTTTTGGTATGACGTGGCCGGGGATCGAACCCAGGACCTTCCGGGTGGACGCTCTACCACTAGACCACGGAGGCTGTCCTTATCTGTTGAAGTTACAAAGGTTTCACTCTGTTAAGTATGTGTTCCATGTGCAGACAAATTTGTTTATGTCTTAATGTTTAAAGTGTATTTGAACTGGAAGGTAATCTTTACTGTTTTAATTTCAACCAGCTACAACTTTGGTCAGAAGACACGAAAAGGCCACTGAAATGGAGCAATCTAGCAAGGCTGCTCTCGAGGACTTGTTGGCTGCTCTGCCAGGTATTCTCATTAGCTTATGCGACCCATGAAAATCCGGTCTTCACTAACCCAGGCTTGCAATAAAAGGCGACTATGCTTGCCATAAAAGGCGACTATGCTTGCCATAAAAGGCGACTATGCTTGCCATAAAAGGCGACTATGCTTGCCATAAAAGGCGACTAACAGGATCAGGCTCACTGACTTGGTTGATGCATATCGTTGATCCCAATTGTATGGATTAATGTTCATGATATCAATCACTGGATTGTCTGGTCCAGACTCGATTACTTTCAGACCACCGTCATATAGCTGGAATATTGCTGAGTGCAGTGTTTAACAACAAACAAACAAACATTGGCTCATGCAATGGCACTTGCCTTTATAACGAACCAAGTGGAAAGTATCTCATGACTTTCTTTCAAATTAGGGTTTATTATTATGTACTTATTTCCTGTACAAAGACATATTGTAAGAATGTAGTAATTATATCCCACAGGTGCTGGTACCGTATTCGACGTAATAAGCGCCCCACTCTAATAAGCACCCAAGGCGATATTTGCTAATATATTGGCTAGTGAACAATCCCAATTAGCACCCCTTCCGATTGATCAATGTACACAAGACTTATTTATTCGCTTATAATACGCACTCATGTTATATGCACCCTTAATTATGGGCAATTAAATTCTGGAAAAATATATCTGTCGTGTATAATACGCAAGACTTTGTATCATTTCAGGCTGTAGGTATAAACCACGAAATTTACGATCTCTCAACTCTGTTTTTTTTCTCACCAAAATTTTATTCTAATAAGAGGCCCCTATTTCTAATTTTGAGAGCGCCCTGGGCGCTAATTACGTCCAATACGGTATAACACACAAACATTTGGTCTCTTTAATCCAAGGTGTCACTGACGTTTTTATCAGCAAAAAAATACAATGAATAATAATAGGGTTGTTAACATTGCTTGTATTTAGGGTTCATTGGAAATGTTAAAATTGCTTTGACAAGGTTGAAATAGCACACACTTACATAACAAATCTAATTTATGTATAAAAGTCTTTTATCGTGATAAAAAAAATGTATCAGTTACTTTCTCTAAACCTGCAAGAAATGAAGCAAACATCAACATGAACAATATGTCAAAACTATAAAAAAAAAAAAAAGTTCTATCTTTCCTTGAACTTACAAAGGAGTAAGTGAGTGAGTTGTGTTTAATTGGGGCGAACCAGGATTCAAACCCACAATCATAGGTTTCTGGCATGCCCAAGGGACCCAACTCTGTACAGCGAATCGCGGCACCTTAGACGACTGGGCCACCCGTGCCCCCAACTTACAAAGGAAATAAAGATGTATAGTTCTCAAATGTTTAGTTCTCTTATGTTACTGGTACATCATTTCATTACTTCAACTTTAGTTTTGGGAATAACCGTCTTCGACGTAATAGGCGCCCAGGGCGCTCTCAAAATTAGAAATAGGGGGCTCTTATTAAAATAATATTTTGGTTTAAAAAAACCCAGAAAACGACATAAATTTCGTGGTTTATGCTGACAGCCTTAAATGTTCATATACGACAGATATATTTTTCCAGAATTTAATTGCCCATAATTAAGGGTGCATATAACACACGAGTGTGTATTATACATGAATAAATAAATCTTGTGTGCATTGATCAAACGGAAGGGGTGCTAATTGGGATTGTTCACTAGCAAATATATTAACAAATATCGCCGTGGGCGCTTATTAGAGCGGGGCGCTTATTACGTCAAATACGGTATTAAAATGTTATTCTGCAAATATCAGAAAATAAATACATTTTTTTTAAAATACTTATACTTTGTAGTAACCCTTTTTCAGAACCCCTTTCCATTGAAGAGGAATACTGCGCCACAATTGAAAAATTGAACAAACTCAGGTAAGTATTAACAGACAACATTTCCCAGTCATAACCTGAGCAAACACTCAGAGATAGAATATGTCCCAAGAACTCCATGCTTGTTGGAAACAATGATCAGGTGTATATAGTGTATTACCTAATTGACTTTATGTCACTGTGCCCATATGGGCATGGGGAATCGTTTGGGCACATTTCATGTTAAGGTCAAAGGTCAAGGTCTTGAGTGAGATACCGTATTCGACGTAATAAGCACCCAGGGCTCTCTCAAAATTAGAAATATGAGGCTCTTATTAGAATATTATTTTGGTGGAAAAAACAGTTGAGAGATAAATTTCGTGGTCTATGCTGAGAGCCTGAAATGTTTATGTACGACATATATATTTTTCCAGAATTTAATTGCCTATAATTAAACGAGTGCGTATTATACACAAATAATGAAGTCTTGTGTACATTGATCAATTGGGATTGTTCACTAGCCAATATATTAGCAGGGGCGGTCGGGTAGCCTAGTGGTTAAAGCGTTAGCTTGTCACGCCGAAGACCCGGGTTCGATTCCCGACATGGGTACAATGTGTGAACCCCATTTCTGGTGTCCCCCACGGTGATATTGCTGGAATATTGCTAAAAGCGGCATAAAACCATACTCAGTCAGTCAGTATTAGCAAATATCGCCATGGGGGCTTATTAGAGAGGGGCGCTTATTACGTCGAATACGGTAATGGAAGTACAAGTACATGGAAACAGATTTGATTATTTTCACTGGCGTAAATGAGATTCCTTCAATTAATATTATTCATGGTATTGTGACTAAAATTTAATTTGATACTAGTATTTGTGTAGCTAATCAAATCTTACATTTCCTTTATTGCAGTTCCTTTTTTTATCATTATTTTTACTAATTTACCAGCAAATTGTTCAGCATTAACAATTTCTTTCTTCTTATATATTATAGCACACTGACAAATGTGTAAAATGTGTTGTGGTTTGATACTTTGCACCATACTGTTTACATGATGTTAAACTTTTTTTTCTTGTCTCATATTTAATTCTCTTTTATCCAGATCTGATAATCTGAATAGAAACGTAAGTATATCATTGCCCCACCTGAATTAATATTTACAAACGAAACTTCCTTGAGTTGGGACCACCTCCGCGGTCTGGAGGTAGAGCGTCCGTCCGGAGAGAGGAAGGTCCTGGGTTCGATCCCCGTCCGCGTCATACCAAAATACGTTAAAAGATGGTACTTGTTGTTACCCTGTCTGGCGCTCGGCATTAAGGGGCTAAAACAAGGACTGGTCGGCTCTTAGTCAGTATACTGTGTCTAAGTGGGGTATTCATGTTAAACTGCAGCATGGTATCTCAGTGAGCTAGCCTTATAAATTGGCATCAGTCCGGACTAGTACAAGCAGCCACACAAAGACATACACGTACATGCACGTTGCTATATAAGTGCAATAATCTTGGATGCGACGTTTAACCCAATTTCACCTCACCTCACCTCTTGAGTTGTGTTTCACCTTAGATGACAGATTTACCTCCTGCTATGTTTGAACTGCATGTTGTCCCTACTGTTTCAGAGCTAAGTGAAAAGGATGATGACAAAGAAGAACCTGTCTGACCTGATGCCTGGTAGTGAGCAGTTCCTCTCCCTTCTGTCATCAGCTCGTCAGAAAAAGTCGAAATCCCTCCTGATAAAATTGAGGCAACAGTGCATTGAGAAAGTCTATTTGCAGGAACTCAACAAAAAATACTCAAGTAAGTTCATGCATAAGGCAGTTCATAGACTTTATGTAAAAAAATCAGAACTCATTAAACATAAGAAATGTTATGAGTGTAAGCTTAAACTGTTCTTTTATTATTATACCTTATGTATTTAGAAAATATTATTAGGGGGCACGGGTGGCCCGTCATCTAAGGCGCCGCGACTCGCTGTGCAGAGTTGCGTCCCCTGGACACGCCAGAAACCTATGATTGTGGGTTCGAATCCCGGTTCGCCCCGATTATGTTTCTAGGTTTGTCAGCACCATACCCGTGCTCATGGGTTTCACCGAAGTGGTAAACGTCGGAGACCTGCATCACTTCGGGCTTTCCTCCCACGTTAAGCTGACATAAATGGAATAATGTTTAAAGCGGTGTTAAACCCAACTCACTCACTCACTCAATTAGAAAATAATTATTATAAAATAAAACTTGTTGAAATGTGAGCTGATGGTATTATGTTTAGTTTACTTTTCTACAAACAAACCAATGCATGTCCTCACTTTTGTGATACCCCATTTGATGGTGATCATTAGCAGTTTAATGTTGCATGACTATTTGCGAACTGTCCCTTTATTTCCTCACTGAACAAACATCAATAGCCAAGACAATTGGTGAAAGATACGCATGAGCATATTTGTGATACATTAGTTGTCAGGCATTCTTATTCATTTAACTGTGCCTTGTGTTCTGTTTTTCAGGAGGACAAAATATCTCCATCAGATTGTCAAGACAAATGAAGACCTCAAAGTCTTATATTGATAAGACGCTCACAGAATTTAATCACAGTGCCACCATCAAGAACAATCTCCCACGGGGATCGCTGCTTTGCAAGAGCTGGTACTCTTCTTTGGAACGCCCTGCCCAAAGAACTCAGAATGCTCAGTGAAATTAACAGTTTCAAAAAACATCTGAAGACATACTTGTTCAGCAAAATATATACAGCCATACCAACTGTGCGAGCTTCAAGAGAGCTTTTGAGCAGTCAGTCTCGAAACTAGCGCTATATAAATACCAAGTTAATAATAATAATAATAATAACTGAATTGAATGCAATTAACACTCACCACCTAACATATGTCAGCTAACCTGTCAGAAGTGAGGCAATACAGCTATATTTTCCTGGCCAAAAGATCTTGTGAAGAACAGGATCTTTTGAAGCAGGAATTGAAGTCTGTTTTGGTCCAACACATGATTCTCATTGTGACAGAGTTGAAAAATCTTTGTTTTTTCAAGAAGGCTTATTTCTTGAAAGACAATTGCATGTCTGCTCTGTTGCATATGAGAAATTTGTTGGCAAAGTTTCGGTTCCCACAATGTTCACAGATTTGTTGCAAGAGGTATTGGAGTGTGAAGAAGATGAGATCATGGAAGATGATGAGTTCGATCTGAGAGAGACTGAAGAGCAATATATTGATAATGTTTGTTTTTTATCTGATAATCAAATAAATAATCCTATCGTGAATACATTTAATGTCTTTTGTCATTTATCTTTGTTTGTTTTGTTTGTTGTGTAATGCCGCACTCCACAATATTCCCGCTCTATTATGGCAGTCTGAAAAATAATCGAGTCTGGTTGTGATTGACGTCATGAGCATTGATCCACGAAATTGGGATAAGATGACATGCATCAATCAGCGAGCCTGACCACCCTATCCTGTTAGTCGCCTCTTATAACAAGCACAAACGCCTTTCATGACAAGCATGGGTTACTGAAGACCTATTCTACCCTGGATCTTCACGGGTCCATTTATCTTTAGAAACAGTATTTTTATGTGTGATATGACAGAACCGGCTACAGCCTGGGAAGAAGACGCTATGAACGTGTTTCTGTGGTTTTGAAATCCTAAACACATAGACTATTTGGAATATATATGTAAAATATGACAGAACCGGTGGTACAGCCTATTCGAATATGTGCGTGAAATATGACAGAACCGGTGGTACAGCCTATTCGAATATGTGCGTGAAATATGACAGAACCGGTGGTACAGCCTATTCGAATATGTGCGTGAAATATGACAGAACTGGTGCTACAGCCTATTCGAATATGTGCGTGAAATATGACAGAACTGGTGCTGAACATTTAAAAGTACAATATTCTTGTAACCCTAACTTGAACTACTCTATTTCGAATATATGTGATAGTTCAAATGATGAATGCTCAATCTACTGCACTTTGAAAACCAATGGGCACTGGTCAGGTGCTGATAGCAAAAGTTTCATGCCAGTGAAAATCTAGAAAACCCATGAAAAAGAATCCCTTGCACTTACATTAGGAAGTGTGTGTGTTATATGTGTATTCATGGAGTCATCCCACAGATGACATCCTTACCTTGTTAGCTTGCTGACGGGGTTAACCTCTTTGGTCATGTGGACAAGGCGTCCGACCTCTGATCAGAAGGTCCGTGGTTCGAATCCCATCACAGGACTCAGAAATTTTATGGTTGCTACATATGCAAAGAGTTTTCAAAAACTAGATTAAGTGTTGAAAGGTCATTAAAAAGTGAAATAAGAAAATGTGTCATGTTTTAGGAACAATTCTTTATTTCTGTCTAATAAACACAAACATAATTCATATATTTGTTCCTTTATTTCTTTAATTTGGAGTTTACACAATATACGGCTTTTCCATTGGACGAGAGGTCGGTCACATGACCGCGAATTTGACGTTCATACGTTTTTTCAGAGACCGTGTTCTTGAAATGACATAAACACTGACGGACTACTTCCACGCTCATACAGCTCCGACGTTCATACAGTTTGGCCCTCACTCTATGAAGGTTCATACTCCAATGAACTCACACAAAGTGAAAGTCAATTCTTAATTAACAACATTCAAGGCATGAACATTAATTACATGTTAACCATTGTTTGTATGCCAACCTATACAGAGGTAAATCACATACTGGAGGAAATTGTTCACATGGTCGACAAGGTAATACTATTTCCATTCTTTAATAGTGACAATAGTATAACTAATGAGATTGGTTGGTTTGTTGTTTAACACCGCACTCAGCAATATTCCAGCTATATGACGGCGGTCTGTAAATAATCGAGTCTTGACCAGACAATCCAGTGATTGATATCATGAGCATCGATCCACGCAAGCGAGCCTGACCACCCGATCCCGTTAGTCGCCTTTTACGACAAGTATAGTCGCCTTTTACGGTAAGCATGGGTTGATACGTTTTGCCAGGGCTATTCTAAAAATGTTCCCAATCGGACATCTTCTGAGACATACAGTGGGTACCCAGGTAAGGTCGGGTAATAGGAGGGTGGCTACCCGGGTAGTAAATTTGGACTCGTCCCAGCCCTAATTTGAATACATCTGATGATTTCTGTGTACGATAACCTAAGACATCAGCAAATGAAAAAAAACTATATTTGTGAACCTCCATACACAAAATTGTTATATATGATAACTGACCCTAAATATAACAAAAGATTTAAAGCTGTTAACACTACACATTATTCTATTGTCTATACTCTTTTGATCAGTTGAGCAATTGGGATTTTAAATAACATTTCAGGTACTGAAAAACATTAAATTGATAAGTCAGTTGTATCAGACAAGTGTCAACCCCCAGTTTAAATGTGTATGGTAAGTAAAGAGAGTAGCCAGTCATGCCTGTTACAATGTAAACACTATCTCATTATTAGTAAAAGACACAAGTAAACAGGGGCGGTCGGGCGGCCTAGAGGTTAAAGCGTTCACTCGTCACACCGAAGACCCGGGTTCGATTCCCGACATGGGTACAATGTGTGAAGCCCATTTCTGGTGTCCCTCGCGGTGATATTGCTGGAATATTGCTAAAGGCGTAAAACCATACTCACTCACTCACTCACTCATTTATACTTCTCAAATGAGCTAGTAATTGGTTGCTGAGAAAATATGGTACCATTTTCTACAACGATTATATTTTGCTTTCATACATGTATTTCATATGATGACTGTCTATATTGTAAATAGGATAATACCTTTTATTTTTCTTCTTTTGACGAAAGGTTCGGGAAATAAAAAAATGAGTCTAAAAAAAAAAGGCTTTTCAAATAATCATCATGCTATAAGTGACAACCGAATACTTGTTGAAATTTCAGGGGACAGTCATGATATAGCTATTATGTTGTGACCCTCAAATCTCATTTCTCCACTATATTACAGAAAACTTCCTCAGTAACAAGGCTAGTTGTTCCAATACTAAAAAAAAAGAAAAAAATACAACATGGTAGTGCTCAGTGTGTCTTCAAAACGGGTATAAACTTTGGCATGTAAACATGACATATGATATGCAACTATGATGCATAAGTGATATTGATTATGTTATTCATTTCATGAAAAAATCAAGCAGTAAAATTAACAAGCACATCCAAAATGTATGTTAAACTTTCAAAGAACTATCAGTATCATTACTTTGTGTATCCTATAGCTAATTTGTGGTACATCAGTTCCTTGAAAAATAATCGAGCTTGATTATGGTTACAAAAAATAACATGCTTAAAATAGAGTCGATCACTACATTACTACATTGTTAATAGATCTGTAACCACATGACTTATAAGGGTTTGGTTGGTTGGTTGGTTGGTTTGTTGTTTAACGCCACACTCAGCAATATTACAGCTATATGACGGCGGTCTGTAAATAATCGAATCTGGACCAGACAATCCAGTGATTAATGTCATGAGCATGGATCCACGCAATTTGGGATCGATGACATGTATCAACCAAGTCAGCGAGCCTGACCACCCAATCCCGTTAGTCGCCTTTTACGACAAGCATAGTCGCCTTTTACGGCAAGCATGGGTTGCTGAAGACCTATTCTACCCCGGAATCTTCAAGGGTCTATAAGGGTTTGGGCTCAAGCATACTAGTACTATACGCCTCCACACATTTAAGACTTTAAATTGGTTCACATGTATTTTTACTATGATCTATAGAGAATGGCACCCTTGTGTCTTTTGATATTAAACATACCGTATTCGACGTAATAAGCGCCCCGCTCCAATAACCCTCATTATTCCTGTGGTTAATGTAGTAATTTCATCATTTGATATTATGATACTTATCATCATGACAGTGATAAGTGAGTGAGTGAGTGAGTGAGTATGGTTTTACGCCGCTTTTAGCAATATTCCAGCAATATCACGGCGGGGGACACCAGAAATGGGCTTCACACATTTTACCCATGTCGGGAATCGAACCCGGGTCTTCGGCGTGACGAGCGAACGCTTTAACCACTAGGCTACCTGACCGCCCAGACAGTGATAAGTATCATAACTAGGAGATACATATTGCTAACTAGTTGTATCAATAAGTATGTTCACCATGATTCCAACTCATGAACCTACATGACCCAAAGCAATAATGAGAGACTTCTACATTGTTAGTATTTCATGGATATTTATGCTGATTTAAAATGGCTGGACAGAAAAAGAAATGATTGATATTATATTTATTCTTCTTTCGGCTGTACTGAAAATGTTATATATACAGCAGTCATACTAATAATAGGACAGAACATTATTGACTTAACCCTTGGGAGATATTGTACTATTCAATTAAATATGGTTTATTATATAACACCTGAGTTAAATGCAGTCATTTTAGCCTTTCTTATTTCTTGTGACATACATATTTTTTTTGGATTAAATAATTTCAATAAGGACCAACCTCCAAAGAAACGAAGCCTTGATGCTGCTTTGGTAGCCGAGCACGTAGTGTTTCACAGAAGCCTTTAACTGACAGATGACAGGCCATGTATCCATCGCAGCAGCTTCCGAAACCTTATCAGCGTGATTGGCTCTGGCCCGCATCGACAGAATTGAAATCGTTGAATATGCTGTCTTCCTGCAAATACAGGATAATAAAAACTGAAGAAATTAAGTCATATGATGTCCACATTGAGGCCAGTTAATAATCTGTTTGCCTATTTTAGATGTGTGAAATATTAGAAATAAGACAAATTGAAAGTTCATGGTAAACACATTGGTCTCATTTGAGCATGTATTAATCATTACTTTTATATATTTAGTAACTAGTGATACCTTTGTCATCAACCACTACCATGTCCTTTTCATACGAACAGCCTTGTGTGTTGCATCCTGATGTCCATGTAGCAGGGCGTGGAGTCATCCTACAGATGACATCCTTACCTTGTCAGCTTGCTGACGGGGTTAACCTCTCTGGTCATGTGGACAAGGCGTCCGACCTCAGATCACAAGGTCCGTGGTTCGAATCCCATCACAGGACTCAGAAATTTTATGGCCGCTACATCCACATGGGGGTATCACAAGAGACACTTACATATGTGCCATTCTGGAAACAGATTTGATACTGGATGACATTCTAGTAACACTGTTGCACTTACAACATTAATGTACACATATTTACTTTGTATGGGCTTCTGAGTTGATGCTGTGTTGATTTTCATGTACTTAAGGAAGTACTTTCTTATGTTGATGTTGACTA